TTATACTGAACGTCTCAACCGTTTCTTTGACTGGATGGCAGGGGAGGGGTTGGTCCTCCCAAAGCAACAGGTTCGGCTCGACTCCCTTGTTAGCGACTACCTTGAACACCTTTGGGCCTCTGGAGAAGGAAAGTCCATTGCAAACAATACCCTTGCGGCCTTGCAGGACCGCGACCCCTCACTGAAGAAAAAACTGCCAGGGAGCTGGCGCCTCCTCAAAGCATGGAGCACCGTGGAGATCCCCAACCGTGCGCCCCCAATGACGGTGCAAATCCTGGATGCTTTGTGTGGATGGTCAATTTTTAGTAATTGTCCAGAGTTTGGCCTTTCTTTGCGCATTGCTTTTATGGACTCCTTCGCACAGGAGAACTACTGAGCCTGAGGGCCAAAGATATATTCATTCCGGGGCCTAAGGGGCCAGCTGTGTTGTCGCTTGGCTTGACCAAGGGAGGGGCCAGACAAGGCGCGGCCGAGAGCGTCGCACTGCATGAACGCTCCATCCTCCCAGCTCTCTGGAAATGGAAACAGACCACTGCTGATTCCCAATTTTTAACTGCTAAGCCACATGCATGGAGAGCACTCTTCAGCAAGGCTGTGGAAGCCCTGCGCTTGAATGACCTGCATTTCCGACCTTATAGTCTACGTCGTGGGGGCGCGACGTTCTGGTTCAATCAGCACGGTTCATTCGACCGCCTGCTCATACAGGGACGGTGGGCCGCGGCACGTACGGCTAGAGTGTACCTGAATGACGGGCCCGCCCAGTTGGCAGACGTGTCTCCGTCGAATTCGTTTTTACTCCCTTATGTAAATTTGTACTGTAGGAGCCCAATCCTTGAGCCTGGGCCGCCCCAAGGGCAGCCCAGGTCAGGGGGACGTGGAGGAGCCAAGAAGGCCAAGAAGGGAAAGTCGAAAGGTCTCGCTTTTGCTCGTTTTTTCAGGCGTGCAGATGAATTTCTCGGAGTGGAGAAATTCCAGAAACCACCCTTTAGAAGACTAGAGTGAGTCTGGGATTGGTTTCCCTCTCAACAAGTACCTGTGCCTAGGGAGGATCGGGTTTGGCGGATGCGACCCTAGGGGGTACAGGGGGGCTCTCAGTTCCTGTCGGTTTGGCGAGGGAACTGAGAGTCGGGGCCCCGAGAGGTTCTTGTAGGTGTGATTGGTGTCGAATTTAGACAAACTTTCTGCAACGCGTGGGAAAATCAAGCTGAGGTCGTGTTTATATATATATATATTGTAGTTATATTGTCAAGCACAATCGAGCCGCGCTCCAGTTCAAAAGGCATGCAGGGGCATGCAGTTTGTGTCTGCACCTTGCTGGTTTGGTCTTCCGTGGACTCAACAGCAACTGTTTCGACCCCAAAGCCGAAGTGAGCTAAATCCAAATCAATCGATGAGGGCCTAGACTCTTTCCTACTTTATCTCATTTAGTGGATCCCCTGTTGCGACTCCATGTATGGTCCTTGGTGCGAACTCGTATGTCTCCAACTCAGGCGATGAGCTCAAGCATAACACGAAGAAAGGCAAGAGTGTCATTGTTGCCTCGTGCTGCGGCGATCACTTTGCTAAAGTCAGAGAATGTGTGCAGAAGCACAACCAGAGCCAAAAAGCAGGGCATGGGAAGGTCAGGGCCCTAGCATAGGATACCTAACTGCTACGACAACATGACACGTCTTGCATGGTAAAAGAGCGTTGCAGACTCAGAGTGGTCCTGACAATTCTGCAAAAATGTGTTTGTGCTCGAGGATGGTTCCAGTAAGGTGCAAGGTTCATCGGTGTTGTGTCCACGCTCCCGTAAGGCCTTTCGCTGCTATGGAACGGCGCACGATTATCAGAAGTGAGTCCGATGATTTTGTATCCTTCTTCACGTAGCTGCCGGCGATGTGGGAGTGACCCAAGGCATTGTGGCTCATTACACAACACCTACACTGCCGCCTTTCTAGTGGTTCAAGAAGGAAAGAGCTGTCGTGTATCACGCTTCCAAAGAATAAATGCACTCAACCTTTATTTGTAGATGATCTTTTGGAGCGACAAGGTACCACGCTGACAAGACCCCATGCACCACGGACAGGTTGCTCAGAAGAGCTTCCGAGAACAAACATGCAGGATTTGGTTGGTATTCGTCGGGAAAACTCCGGGTACCATTGACAGTATGAGAGACAAGTGCTGCAGCTGGGTGAAGAGTTGCGTTTGACCCAACTGGAAACATGACTTTGTATGTTTGACACTTGGGAGTTGACAGACATTTCAATCTACCTGCAACCTGGGAATAGTCAATTGGAAATGGGGACACGTAAAGCCGCAAAAAACACATGTGAACTTGCCCTTAACATTTTTCTTGGGTTTCCTACAGCCCGTTTCCTTGCTGGAATCTCGTGTTGGCCAGAAGAACTGCAAACCAGTCAAGACTCTCAAGCTGCTCGCAACACTGAATGGAATCAGCTATGAGTCGATTTATGTGTTGCATCAAGCTGATTTGATGGTTCTGATGGAAGAGAGTCAATCCTGGTGCTTCCAGGTGTCAAAGGGCTACCCCGAGGAAAGCACCCGCCAGACTTTTTGTTCTGACATGATCAAAGAAAGGGAGGTTGTTGACAACTGGAACTGGAACCAATGAGTTTTCCTGTGTCATAGAACTCCTGTTCGTCATCGTTCAAGGGATGTGGCAACATGTCAACGCCCCAACTGTTCAGGCATTTCTAGGATTTTTCCCTTCAATCTTGGTGTCAGGGAATTGGTTGGGTGAGGCAGTATATAGGTTGGTTCAAACGTGTGCAAGCTTGAAGCTTGGTGGGTGCTCATCGCAAGAGACAGTGAAGGTGAGTCTCCGACATGGAGCAGCGACGGCTGGGTTTTACAAGCTGACTCAATTTTTTCAATATAGCAGAGAGTGAAAAGGGCGCACATTGCCACAGCGAGCTCTCACCTTAGCAATGGCAATAGTGCGGGACTGCAAACGAATCAGAGAACATGGAGTGGCAGTATTACCTTGTTAGTTTGGGAACATACTCTGGGAACAAGACAACCCCGATGTTTGATGGTTCTTTCATACGGACAGCATGACGTGGTGAGTCATGTTTTTGTTTGTTCATGCTGATCTTGGTGGCAAGGGCACACTGTGGCAGTGCGAATGACGAAGTCAAGCTCCTTTGCACCTGCTTTGATGCGACCCAGGCAGATTGTAGAAAAGACCTGTTGGCCCAAACATTCTTGCATGCTTTGATGTGTTGCAAACTTGACGTTGACCTTGGACAGTAGTTCAATTCAATGTACTGCAATGTGTAGAAGATCAGAGCCCAGTCATTGCACCATGCATTTTGATCAGTCCATACCTTATTGCTTGCCCTGTCATGCGAGAAGGCTTTAGCTGTGATGATTGTTTTTCACGCCATGGCACAAGCAATACTGCCACTGCCACGAGTGAGCGCAGACGTCGCCTCAAACACAACCACTGATCATGGTGTAAGTCATGAATGGGATGCGTGAAATTCTAACAAATCCACTTCGGAGCGACAAATACCAGGAAGTAGGGATCCACAAACCATGGTAACAAAAGAGGAGTAAGCCTCGGAGAAGCAAGTGATCGATGCATTCTACCAAGGCCCTCGTGTCACTGAGCTGGTTCCCAGACAAGGAGTTCCAGCAGTTCTCAAGAAGCAGACGTTTATCTTAGACGCACTGGAAGAAGATGGAGGAAGTGCCCAGCGTCAAGCAATCCAAGTGAATCAGCTGCTGATCAAGAATCATCACCTTTTGATGTTCGGTGCAGGTCACAATCATTGCCGAAGGTTTCGCGTGGCTTGGAGGGTGACGCGTTGTTTCATCCAGCATTTGATGTGGGATCTTTGACCAACTATCGACACAGAATCCGAAGGCATACTGAGCAGATTGGGTGCTAGGATGGAGGAGTGCGCTGCCTCGATTCAACAAGCAACGCAGAAAGAAGCTCAGAAGGAGATGCCCAGCTCCGACCTCAAAGTTTGGCTGCGTCCATCCTACTGGCATTTAAAACACCAGACTGCACTTCTTCAAGGAGCACCGGGCGCTAATCACTGCAGGTGCTTTTAAAAACTGGTGAAATATGCCACATATGGTGCTCTAGTGGGTCTGTTTCTGCAGAGGCCACTGGCACTCTGACCTTTTTTGTGCAGTGTCTCACAAGTACAATACCCCAAACATCCACATGTGAAGAATCTTGAATTGCCGTACTGCACTTATTCGAGGGCAAAAGCAAATGCAGCGATTGGTTGATTACTGGCGTTGAGCAAGGTCTCATTGCCGGCCTTAGACTTCCGTGCGCTCGCAAAAGGATCGTGGAATTTGTTGTGCGATTGTCCTGTTTGAACAAAACGTCATCAGATTGGACTTGAAATCACAAAATTCTTGCCACCAGGAAGGGTTGCCCTGGGTAGTCACCTTTAGATCGGTTCAGTGGGTTTGAGGCTTCTAGCATCGATTTAGCTGGGCGTTTGGTGGGGCAGAACAGCGAGACCCCCAACCATTGGATTGCGCCGAATGTTCCCCTTACCAGGGTTGTTGGGCGCGAATGTGCTAGAGTTGGAATTCTTTGTAGGAAGGTGTTTCTCTACAAACAAGATTGGCCGCGGAATTCCAACAACTTAAGCTCAGGCACATGTCGTTGACTGGCGGTGGCCAGCGGTCTGGCGGCAAAGTTTGGTAGAACGTGCAGGAACCAAGTTTTTGCAGTAATCAACCTCCAAAATGTGACATGCTCTCCTCACCAAGTACCTCCCAGGTCCCAGTATGCACCAGTTTTCATCACTGATGTTCAGCACAGAGTCGAACATCGAGCCCCTATTGCCATGCACGCAGACCACCGGTGGTTCGAAGCAGCAATCAGACTGTTGAGGATAATGGACCATGGATGTGAAACTTGAGCATGTGCATTGCTAAGACTCAATCAACCAAGGGTTGTTGACAAGTGTCCATGCTGTGTCCATGTTGCTCAGCAGGGTTGCAAGCTGCAAGAGAAGTCACTCACGAGGGCCTTTGAAAGTTTGAAGATGAAGTAGGTGCTGTGCAGAATGGATGCCTGTTGCCGCTGGACAGGTAGTCGAGACTCTTTGGAGTGTAAGGGCCTGCTGGAAGTAGACGTATGTGGGGAAGTTGGCTCGGAGTCTGAGGAAGAACATGCTGAAGTGGATAGGCTTGGGCTTCCTGCCTGCCTCTACGACGGCGGAGAAATCTTATGGACTTCCCACGCTGCAACTTGACGCGCTCATTTTCTCTCTTCAAGTGTGTGAAGTGTGTGAAGAGTTCGGCCTTGCCTTTTGATTGTTCTTTTGCCGTACGATATACAGTATTTACACTGGTACTAGTAGCACCCAGTACCTACGATTCCGATTGCGTTCGTGTATTTGTGAAGGATCATGTGATGCATGGCATAGTGTGAGGAAGTACGATGTGATTTTCGGCGAACAATTCTAAGGGCAGTTATGGAGAACCACTATATAAGACTATAATAAGACGGAGTTCTGGGTCTTGGGTCTTAAGCCGATCCGGCACAGAGGTCGGCCCTGCAATCCCATGGCTCTGGGCCTTGAATCTCACTTTGATGGCCCATGCTGCAGTGTTCTTCTTGTTGGTGCTGCTACTCAGGTTGGGTTGAAGTTGAACCCCCCTAGAAAGCATTTGGAAGCCGTAGATCCTTGCAGGTCATGCACTTCTGGAAGTTCTTATCCTGCAGCACCCATATGGATCATGATCATTGCGGTTTTGCCACTACCACTGCAGATAGCTGCGGAACCTTGACCTTTGTATTAATGTTTCTTGTTTCCGGGGTCGTTGCATCAGACACAGTTCAGGCCCATGCTAAAACACATCTACAGAGCAAAAACTTTCACTTCCAGGATTAGTTTGTTGAAAATTTGCTCCGTCCTGATCCACCTAGGAGTATAAATCCATTTGCACGGTTCTTCCCACTTTCACGAATGACATGATGCAGTGGCATCCGAGTGGTGCGAGATTTACAGTCATGTCGGTTCCAGTGCCTGTGAACTGTTGGATCTTCTACTGCATGATCCTCTCAACAGTGTTCTTTGCAGACTTGCTTACTGATAGCAATTTTGCTGGCACGATGAGCTTCTCAGGTGGGCTCAGCGGTAGCAGCCGGTTACAACTAGTTTTGCCTTGTTAGCTAAAGAAAGGAAAGACATCAACAGCTGTGACAGCACCTTTCCAACGTTAACCGTTAAGCTTTCTTTTTCTTTGCCTGGAGGCGCTGAGATGTGCTCCGACCGGACGGACGAAATCTGGAATTTCTGGTGGACGCACAGCCTGATGGGGATGACGGGTTTGCCGCCCATTCGGCTCGATCATTTGGTCTTTGTTTGCTGGCTACTGACCTTTCTTCAGCAAGTGGTCCCATGTGTCGCTTTTCTGGAGATTTCGAGCGGAAAGACCATGGAAAGCGGGGCCATGATGGGTAGCGAACATGCGGACAACATGGGGATAACATTTGGTCGAATTATAGCGACCTAGCCCTTAATTCAATTTGGAAGTAAAAGAAACGACGCAACGACCTACGAAATATCGTAATTCACGATTTGTCGACCGATTGTTTGGACCACAGGCCACGATGCTTCGTGCCGACCACATGACCTATGCGCTGAAAGATGATGGCAAATCAACGGCTATCATGACCGGACAACAGCTCTACAACGATGATGTGTTCTTTGAGCTCGGAACGGCTGCTGGTTTGAAGTCCATCACTCAGATTTCCACCAACTGTAGGTGGTGTCATGTGAAGAGGCTTTCCAAGAGCCAGCCGTGGAGGCGCAGGGATGCCACAAAAAGAACAGAGAACTTGGGAAACATGTTTGACAGCAGACCTTTACACGATGTGATTTGTGAGACAAAACAGGTCAATGTTGAGGCTAATCAAGAAGGCTGGTCTAAGGAGGGTGCTTTTTGAATTTGCACAAGAAAGCCAGGGTCATGGGTTACGCAAAACCTTTGGCCGAGCAGCTCAGCAAGAAGTTCTTCCTCTCATACTTTCTGGAGACGCTTGGCTGGATTTACATAGGTGAAGAAGTCGATAAATCACTGGAAAAATCACGCGTGCAACTTGAATAGGAGGGTTGGAGCACAAGTCTCAATTGGTGTCATTCTTCGCAGCATGAGCGCTCACAATCTCACAAAGGCCTGCTGTCCAAATCAATCTGCAAGCTTACATTCTTGCAATCAACCGCCACCAGGAAGCTTGACCTATGCAGAGTATCCGTGTTGAATCCTTTTTATTTGCGCTGTGTTTCAATCATTGCCAGGCTCTTGGTTAGTACTTGCGCAGGGATAATCGGATAAAGTTCCTACGGTACGTATGCCAACCCTTTAAAATCAGGTGTTTCCAACTGCCAAATGACAAAAGTCAGGATTGCATTGCTGAAGGATTTTGAGTATTCTTTTTTGGTTTGGTTTTTAGAGCTACGGGGGTCTTATCCCACCCACTTTTCCACGTCTCTTTCATTCTCTTTCTAAATCTAGTCATTGATTGGCATCCGACGCTGATGACGTTGATCCAAGAAAGAAATAAATAAAGAAAGAAAGAATAAAGAGAGAACACTTTCTTGGCATTGTTTTTTCGTTTCTCAAGTAAGAATTAGTTGTCAGTCAGTGCGACTTGTCCTGATTTTTTTGGTGTATTTTGTGCGAACTTGTGACAACTTCTGCCAAACAATGCCAAAGTCCCCAAATCAAGTTGAGGCCGCAATGCACGGAACCTTGCATCTCCATTGTTAACTTCAATCATTTTTGGAGTGGAAAACGATACACTAGGACAGGCGCTAAGCCGCTAAGCAAGTTTCAAGATTCTTGTTATGGGAAGGTTACAAACACTTACCTGTGATGGCCCAGGTGTAGATGCAAAGAAATTGCCCCTGCGAGCCCGATTTGTCGACTAGGTTTGTCGCAGAGCCCACGTAAATGTGGTTTGCAGACCATACCCAAAAAGAATTGCAGATTGTAAACCATGAAAGAGGTGAGATTCTTTTGTAAGCTGTTTCTTCGTTCAGTCAGTTCAGTGAACTGAGATGGGCTACTTCGCATTGGTGCCGGCACTCTCCCTGGGCTTGAGCATGTTTACTACCGCCCTAAACCTGGCCGAGATGCTGGCGTTCTTCCGCCTGTGGAAGGAGCTCCAAGACATTGTTGAACAAGCCAAGGAGCATCCGGATATGCCCGAAGAGGCAGCACCCAAGTTGGAAGCAGGTTTGACCCTCTGGTGCCATCGAGCCGTCTTTGTTGGACTGATTTTCATCGTTGCGGCCGCGACATTGTTCACGGCCGGTCTCACAGTCTTTGGCGCACACCACTGCCCTCATGGACTTATCACCGTTTTTGGCTGCTTACATGCAGTATCGGATGTGTAACCAATGTGTAGCACTCAGCTGTAAAGATCATGAGCTTCGTTAATGCCAGAAAAAAACAATGGCATTGATTCTCACACGCGCACTAAGAAACCAAACAAAATAGACATCATCATCATTGATAATGTTTGTGACAATGGTTGGGGCAGTTTCTCGGAAATTGCCCAGCGTCTGAACACTGCTCAGAGTCTGAACGCTCTCGCGTCACAGATGTTGAAATGACACCTGTCCAGACAGATCAATTTTCGGCTCGTGGCAGCACGGGTTGGGAGTTTTTTTCCATTCGATCCTTTCTGACACCAGAAGGCCAGCGCCCGACCGAAGGGTTGAATCCATAAAGCTGATGGACATTGGATCTTTGGATTTTTTTGATTGCATTGTGCGTTGAACCTTTAAATGCTTTGATGCGCTTCTCTTGATGTGTTTTTGATGGTTCTTGCTTGCCTTGGCTGAGCTTGTGATTTTTTGTTTTGATGTGTAACACTCAGGCCACCGAGGCCGCCATGTCTGAGGAGGCACGGGGGGGCAGCCAAACGGGTGTCAAACGGATCTGTCTGAGGTTTCGGATGATTTTCGGTTTGATTTGTGGTTTCGAATGAAAAAAGATCAACAAGGTGAAGCCCAAGTCCGAGTCTCGGTAATTTGTATTGAACTGTATCTTGCACTGTGACCCTGGACTTCGGGATGGCTTCGGGATGGCTCAACAAACTTCGCAACATGAGCCGTTTTGGACAGTTTGTCGTTCCTCTACATTTGATTCACCGTGGGTGGGGGTTCAATGCATCATCCCTGGGTCAGAGAGAAGGCACAAGCCACAAGCCACACCAGGTTGTATATCATAATCATAAGTCATATAGTGCCCAGGTATGCGTTTAGCTGCCTAGCTGTTTGCAGGTTCAACAGCTTCATGTTGACCATGAGCTTGCAACGGAGGGGGGTTCGCCAGATCCCTGAAGAACGACTTCTATTTGATCCATCTTTCACTCACTGTTTCCTTCGAACATGTCCAGGCTGACCGAGCGGCGGCTGCCGAACGTCCAGCCCTCAAGGTGTAGAGATTCTGCCAGCTGCAGCGTCACACGATGTCGCCAGCAGCTTTGATTTCTTCGCTTTTCTGCCAAACATATAATATCTATAGCAACCCGGAAGTGAACACCCAGACCTCTTCCCAAAACAGAAAGCAGCACCACCGCACCACGGAGATGCACCGCGCGGCGTCCCAGACGCGGCGGTCCGCCCCGCCGAGGGGATGACGTCCTCGATGCGGCGGGCAGCGGCGACCTGCCGGCGGTGCGCCATTTTGTGCGCCAGAACCGCACCGCGGCGCTCAGCGCGAAGAATGGATTTGGCCCGCGGCCTCAGAGGAAGGTTGGTCGGTTTCGGAAGGCTTTTTCGTGGAGCGACTCGGAGTGGATCATGGGCAGAACATGAAAGATGCCACGACATGGTCTTTTTAGTTAATTCATACTTAATTGGTGTCTCATCTGTCCTTCGAAGCTCCGCGCCGGGAGCTCCGATGCCGCTGGACCGACCCCTTCCGACCTTCCCCGGCCTCCGCTCCTCCCGGCTCCGGCGCCGAGGCGAAACGGCGCTCCTGTGGGCCGCGTGGCAGAACCACGACGACGTGGTGCACTTCCTCATCGAGGCCAAGGCGGACCTCGATGTCGCGAACAACGATGGCGCGGGGCCTTGGACGGGGGGTCCCCGGGCTGGAACGGAAGTGCATGATTTGTGGGTGGTTTTCTTGAAAAGTGGACACAAGAAAATGTACTGCAGGGGCGAAATACACGTGAATCCAAAGTGTTTGCAGAGCAATGTGGGACATGCCATGGGAATGACTTTGTGGGACGTACCCTTCACCTTTCTTTCAAGGTTGAATTGCTCTCCCTCGGTGAGCCTCAAAGAAGTATACAGATGGCGATGGGTGCACTTCCTGCTGTTTTTCTAAGAGTAGGATGTTCTCAAGTCTCAAGTCTTGTGTTTGTTGAAAACCAAACTTCATTGCATCGCCACTGAACGAAGCTTCGACTCCTTGTTGTAGGCCCTCTTTGGCCCGAAATGGCCCGGGCCACCGACCGATCCCCCGTGGCTTTCTTCGGCCTTGACGCCTCCCGGGCCTCCCAGGTGCCACGGCCCTTCATATCGCTGCCTTCAACGGCCACCTGCACACCGCGGAGCTGTTGGTGGCCGCGGGCGCCTCGCTCGACGTCAAGGACAAAAAAGGCCCGGGGCCTTGGACCTCTCGGTGTCGGTGTCGCGGCGATGGCCAGACGTCTCGGTGCACGGGTGGCGGGAACCAAATCTGGAGGGAAAATGGTACAGCTATGTTTTCTATCATGGATTTCTCGATGGAAGAAGCCATTTGGAAAGTGTCCAAGTCCGCCTTCCTGCTCAGGTATGACACCATTGGATCTCGCTCGACAATTCAAGGAACAAGAGGTGGTGAAGCTGTTGGAATCTGCGGTTTCCTGGACTGCATCTAAAGTGCGCGAAGGATGCACAAAACTCTGTGGTTTCTCGTGTGTTTGTGCGTGAAAACGCAGATGTGTATGGGTGAAGCCGCACCGACCGACGACGCCATCTACCGCATCCAATCAGATCCAATCAACGCATCTATAGTCTATAGTTGTTTCGTCAGGAGCACAGTATTCAAATAGGTGGTGCGACATGAAAAAGGTGATATATAGGTGTTGTCAATGAAGGTCCCGATTTGTCTATGTGTGCTGATGCCAGTAACTGTTGTTTCATAGAGATGCCATTATTGTGGCATCGTGGCATGTCCTGCCTCGGTCGTGCATGAGGTGGTAGCATCTCGCGCAGTTTGTCTGAAGTTGCCGTTGCACACTGTTGTCTTTCGCACGTTGCTTTAACTCAGCGCCCCGTGCTAGCACTTCCTTGCTTGAGACATGTTGGAAGTTGCAAGAACCTGACTTTGGGCGGTGGTCTGCACAGTTCTTTCTCTAGCTCCAAATCCCTGGGAGTTGACGCGACACAGACCCTTTGTGACTGGTTTGTTGGTGACATGCTAAGCTTCAATTGCTGATGCAAGCAACGCCAATTGCAACTGACTAATTTGCTGCTCAAAGTGGTCTCTTACTTCCCCTCGGCCTTCCCGCCATCTACAAATGTTTGCTGGCTTTGGCTCTCAAAAGCACCGGTTCTTCACCTACTGACTGCAGAAATGACCGGCAGTGGGTAGTTCAGGGCCTTTGGCAGGTGCCTACCCATGGGTTACACCTTGTTCACGGGGCCGTTTCTGGCCATCTCTGGCCTTCCTTGTCTATGCATGGTGTCTATTAATGTCACATCTCCAACACGGCCAATCCTTGTGACCAATGCGGCTCATCTTGCCCAACATTTGGGAACATGACGGTCCCGCGCACAAGACAGGATGCTTTGGACTTGAGGCATCATGCTCGTCGTTTTCGAGCCAGACATGTTACCCAAATAGGGACGCGTCAGTTGTTTACTTGTTATGCTAGCTTTGGTTCTGTTGTTAGACCGTCTCCTTTGCGGTTCATGGTGCTGTTGTGGAAAGCAGTGCAATCTTTTCGCAACAGGTGCTGTTCAACCGCCAACTATGATTGAAACATATTGAAACCCATTCTGGGACAGTTGCCATGACTTAATTTCAACAGGGCGACATGGCTTAGGCTCAACGCCTCAAGAAGCTGAAACTACTGAAGCCCAAAACAATTCATGCATGAGACTTCCTGAAATGCATTTGGTGGCCGGCTGAGGCACAGAAGAAAGTGGAGGCGACGACGCAGAAGAAAGTGCTGACGGTCGAGCTTTGGTGGTCTGAGCAATCTCAAGAATCTGCAAAAACCCAGGAAAAGGCGATCCCATGAAGGATCAACATCCAAGTGTATTTTGCGTGACACGTGTGTTTCGATGTTTAGCTTCTTCGTTTGAATGGTATTTCTACATGTTCTCACGACATGAATGTTTTGGCATGTACGAGATCAATATGTTGGAGCATCCATATCCTGTGGGGCCAAAGCACTGTCTCACTCGAACATAGGGTGCTTTGCAACCAACAACGATGTTCCCGCAACCTTGGTGAAATGAGTGCTCGTAGCTGCTTGCAAAGCTCTTCTAATTTCAGCTGAGCTTTGCCGTTGCCCAGTGAAATTTGGTCGTTTGTCTCCTTCGGGTGCTCGTGCTTATACATAAACTTGTTTGGTTGACACCTGCCTCTACTAAGTACAAGAAAGCGATGGATGCTTCTAAAGTTGTCCAACACTGAGGGCAGCGATGGCCCCCCAAATGAATGTGGTGACATGCGTTTAAACAAGGAGTTTTGACATCCCGCACAAATGATTTCCCCATTTTGATTGGCAACGGGAGAGAAGATATGCACAATGGCTTGCTGGTGTCTCATTCTCTTTCAGCACTTCACACAGAACTACTGTTCATTTGCTTTGTCGACATCGATGTTTCTGACTACACTTGCATCAAAGGCAGCCACAGGAGGATATGCTGCAGAGGTGCTTGGGGGTAAGGTTGTTAAGTTTAAGCTTGGGACAGTTAGACTATAGTAGATGTGTCCAAAAATGTAGCAAACGAGCTCTGCAAAGGATTCGAAATGGCACTTGCAACACCTCCAAATTGTGAGGGGAAGCAGGGCCTCGTGACTTCCTTAAGTCCGTTTTCTCAATAATTCCCAGACGGCAGAGGCAAAGCCCAGCGCAGTCGAGACCTGAGCATTGCTCGATCCAGTGAAAGGCAGAGCACGGAGAGAGCTGCCCTGACAACTTAGCGTTGAATGAAGAGAGCTGCAACCGCTTGTTGCATCTTTCGGAGGGAAGCTGAGCTGGAAACTTTCGTTGAAGCCTTTCTTGTTCTGAATCAAGGGTGGATTTTTCCTGCATGGCTGTGGAGGAGTGGTTGCATTTAGCGTTCATGTGTGTGTGTGCACAACCTACACGTTGCCTTTGACTGAACTCAAGGCCACCTGTGACTGTTGTGGCACGCGGACTGAGGCTTTGATCGGAGCCAAGGCCGGAGAGTATGTTTTTGTCCCGTGCACCAAGAAAGGGGCAAACCTCAAGAAAGTTTTTCCTCCAAACCGCTGTTGAGTGAAGAATTGATAAAATTGATCCTTTGTTGAGGATCGCTTTCTGAACCAAACGCAAGAGAATGACAACATGAGTCTTTGGTCCATGGAGAGCTGAGCCCATCGCACTTCACGTCCTTTCTCTTGCATCTTGCGGGAGAGCCAGATGCTCGACTTCTCTGGATGTTCGGTCAGGTATTTGGCATCTGACGGAGAAACAGGAATTTCCAGGGCATAGAAAAATTATGGGCCCCTTTGCATCTGGGTCACCTCCTTCTTTCCGGTGTGCTCTTGTTATGGTTGATCTGCGTCTCCTCGTCAGGGATCATTTCAACTGAGCTGCCAGAAGAGGATGATGATGATGATGATGATGATGATGATGATGATAAGGGCCATGAGCGGTTCAATCCCCACCGCCCACGGTGCCGCGGGGACAGTGCGGAACCGTGCTTCGCTCCATGGGCAACCCGAAGGAGGTCACATTGTGGGTTGACTTCCTCGGTTACCGGGACTTTGCCCATCATCCTCAGGGACCTCAAGATCCTGATCCCTTTCTCCAGGTGGTCGGCATCTACCTGTTCAGGTTCTACTTCCTGTCCCTAGTGACTGTGGCTGCCTTCCTCTTCTGGCTCCACCGGAAGAAGCTCTACTACCACCTCAGCTCTTCTTGCACCTGGAAACGGTCCAGACCACAACGAAGGCGGTCACACGCGGCACCGATCAGGTACGCTCACCGGGGTCCCAAGTCCCCGGCCAGGGTTGGACCTGGCCTCTTGGCTCACTGTCTCGCAGGTTTCATCATGGCCTACATCGTGAACCACAAGAGTGCCTTGAATCCCCATGCTCCACCCTGGTGGCCTGAGGGTTCTGGGTCTGCCACACGACCCAGTGAAGCCAACCATCCTTTGGACTTCAATACCCTTTCAATGGCAAAGCCAAGTGGCACAGGACCCAAATCAATACACCTGGATTCGGAAAAGCCTCAACACAAAAAGAAGGCATATATTCGTGCACTCAAACGAGCCCAACTTCACGGTCATACATGGTACAGAGGTCAGCTTTTCACGGCAGCCATGTTTGGAGTTGAACAACTTCCAACCTCCTTGGATGACCGAGGACACCACACCAGGCAGAAGATCAATGTGGCTCCACCGGCCAACATCAGAAAGAATCGGCTCACCGGCTTCAGCTGGAACATCTGCTCACTGAGCTCCTACAAGTTTGACATCCTCCGGCAGTGGATGCGCTCACAACACCTGGATGTCCTCTTCCTCCAGGACACTGGGTGGGGGTTCAGTGGTGACTGGCAGGACACCCAATTTGCCTATGTTCACAGTGGCTCTAGTGGGAAAGCTGGTGGCCTCATGGTGATCATCCGGAAAGGCTTTTGCAATATTGACCGCATTTCCTGGAGGGAGATCATTCCTGGGAGGCTTCTTCATGTTCGACTATACCTTCCCTCCTCTGGAATCGACCTTCTCAATACCTACCAGCATGCATGGATCCAAAATGATCCCAAATGTGCTCAGCATCGAGGAGACCTCCTTCTAGCATGTGATCAACTTCTTGCTGGCCTTCCACAAAGGAATGTGGTCATCATGGGGGGAGACCTGAATACCAGCCTTTCTCGTATCCCACACTGTGTTGGTCTCAATGACTTTCAGGACAAGAAGGGCAGGCGGACTGGACCACGACACCCTGACTCTGGGCGGCTTGGCACCCTCCTTACCCAGCATGGGCTCACCGCCATCAACACCTGGGACACCTCACTTGGGCCCACCTACATAGGAGGGCTGGCTCGTCAATCCAGGATCGACTTCATCCTGGTTCGTCACAAATCCAGTGACTCCATCACCAAGAAGCCCATCTACCTGGAGGACCTGCCTGATCGATTTGGCCACACAAAAGATCACGCGCCTATCCTCTTCACGGTCCCTTACAAGTAAGTGGAGAGCTTGGAACTCTCCCAAGGTCGGTCTTCCTCAAGGACAACATGACCTTGGCAGGGCCTGTGCTCCTCCCTGGATGGCCTTTGGCAAGGTGAACCAAATCTCGAGGCTCTCAACCAGGCTCTACTTGATGAGTGTCAAAACTTCACACCCCAAGATCAGGGGCCTGACAAGTCCTCATCCACCTTCTGGACCTGGGCAAATGGACATCCTGGACTTGCTCTTCCGGCCGTGGCCAGAAGACCACTTTCTCCAGTCGACTTCAACAACTGTTTGGCACATGGGTCAAAGTGGCCAGGATTCAATCCTGGAAACGGGCCACAAACCAGAAAGCCAAGGATGCCAAGAAAGACAGGCTGGCACAGACCATTGCACAAGCAAGACGGCATTGGAGCAACAATGACTCCCACAAGTATTTCAGGGTGGTGAACTCTCTCACACCCAAGACCCGGCCATCGAGGCCTCATCTTCGGCGGCGCGCAGGGCAGCTGATGTCTCCAGAAGAGGAACTGGGCTGGATTCAGGAGTACATGGAAAGCCTTTATGCGGGAGTTGATCTACCAGCTCAACCCTTTCACCTGGTCGACCTTCCCTTCGAGGCACCGGACCTTGTTCATGGGCTGCAAGCGCTTTTTGGGCGCACCAGCGTTCCGCCTCATGTGGCTCCAAGCTTTGTCTGGAAGGCGCTGGCCACTTCCATTGGGCCTCTCGTCCTTGAATGGGTGAAGCGGTGGATGCAAGGAGGCATGATCCCTCATGAATGGCGGAAAGGATGGGTTGTATTGCTGCCTAAACCAAACAAACTTCCAGTTGAACCGAAAGTGCTTCGTCCGATTGCTCTTCAGACTCCGCTCTCCAAGACGGTCATGTCACTTTTTGTTCATGAGGCCAGGAAGTTCACTCTTCCAACACTGACCTGGTTTCCACAATTTGCTTACCTCCCGGGACGAGGAACATGGGAAGCTATCACCCGGGTCCAAGCACATGTCCGGAAGGTCCAAGCTCTTCATCACCGCTGGAGATATGATGCCAACAAGCGGGCAGACGAGGGGACAAAACGTCCTCTGGTGTTTGGAGGGTGTCAACTCTTCCTCGATCTCACAGGTGCCTTTGATGCCATGCCTCGGGAGCACCTATGCTCAGCATTTACACTTCTTGGTCTTCCCATTGAACTCATCTCCCTTTTGATGACATGGCACACTCAGACTTCATATGTGATTCAATGGAAAGGACTATCAGCTGAACAACCCACCTTTAGAGGTGTGAGGCAAGGCTGCCGAGGCGCCCCCTTTTTTTGGGCAAGTTTCATTGCTCTGGTCTTGAATTTGATTGCGCAAGAATCCTCTGAAGATTGGATGCGGGAAAGCTGCACCTTCTATGCAGATGACGGTCATGCCTGCTTTGTTTTCCAAACCATGGCTGAACTTCAACAAGGTCTTCGAAACTTTGGCACTGTTATTTCTGTCCTTGAGAGGATGGGCATGACAGGGAACATGAAGAAATCAGCCGTCATTCTGCGCTGCGGAGGCAAACAACAGAAACACGCCAGGCAGCAATTTGTGAAAAAGAAGCTTGACCATTCAGTCCTATGCATACCACAAGTTGCAGGGGGCTCACACGATATACCGATCAAAGAGACGCACGAATATTTGGGAGTTCAGATGGGATACAACAATTTTCAAAGAGACACCATGAAAGCTCGGCTTCAAGCATGCAAAGTTCGTTTCAGACAAATGCAGAAGTGGTTCTCCAAAAACGGCATGCACTCGGCTCAGAAGGTGGCTCTATGGCAAACATGCATCTTTCCAATAGGAGTGTATGGCTTGGATGCAACTGGAACAGATCATTCCTCCATTCCTTTGTTCTCCAAGACCATGACGTCAATGCTACGACAGGCAGCAGGAGACCATTCCTACTTGACACACACCACTCACATCGACTTTTTGTCAGAGCACCAAATCCGGCACCCGGTGCTCTCTCTTCGGGAGCGGATGGCCTCTCAATTGAAGCGGCATGAGGACCGACTTACCTCAATCCAAGAGCATGACATACTCCACCTCCTTGACCTCAGCACACTTCAGAGCTCCATTCACCTAGCAGACTCTTGGCTCCAGGACCTTGGTGATTTGGACATGCAACCCAAGCTCCCCTTGGCGGAGGCAGGACTCGACTGTCAGCTATGTGGGCTGACTTTTCAACATCTTTACACATTGAGGAGACATGAATTGCATGTTCATGGAATACTTCATGCAGAAGGTCCAACTCTGGACATAGCTAGGGATGCAGTCGATGGCCAACCTACTTGTCGGCACTGTGGAGACTCCTTCATTAGCTGGCAAAACCTTCGACACCACATTCACTCCTTTTCCTGTTCGGAATTTGACTCGGCCAAGGCACCACCGGAAGTTCTTCAACAACACAGGCAGAAGCTTCTGGAGTACTATGACGATGGAGACATGGCACCACTGGCCAATGACCGCGAGGGCTTTGCTACTTCTTGACTCAACGGTGCATTCTTTGTGGCTTTTGGTCCTCGAGACTGCAGCAAATGTCTGCCCATATGGGTCGAGATCACGGGGATGTCTATGCCCTGATGGGAGAGGTTCTGCCTAACGTGATCCGTGCAAGGACCACCTCACCATGTGAACTTTGTGGACAGGACTTTCGATCGAAAACACACACCTGCCCTGTGAAGAAACAACTGGGACTTTCTCTAGCTTACCGGAAACACCGTGAACAATTTCCGGCACGTCCACCACCGGTTCCAGAGGATGGACGCCCAATTTGCCTGCGCTCAATGTCCCAGGAAATTTGTGACTGCTGCAGGACTTCATCAACATCAGTCCATGGAGCATGCTCACTCTACCCTGACCAGGACCTTCTTAGCATCCAGGATCAAGTTCCTGGGCTCACTCAATGCGCACACTGTGATGCCTCCTTTCTTTGTCTTGCAGCTCTTCGGCATCACATTGATGGTGGACACTGTCCTGAACCCCTTCCGGATGCACCTTCCTTGCTATGGCATCATCCAGTGGTTGTCTCCGGACTTCATGGGGGCACATTTGATCACCTGTTGGCCTACAAGTCACTGATCAGGAGGCTGGGCTACATATGTGGCCTTTGTGGCCATCAATCATCCAGCTCATCCTCTCTCTTGAAGCATCTTAGCTCGTCTCACTCCACTTCCTGGTCTATGGCAACCACGTATGCAGAATGGCTTCAAACAGATAGTGCCCTGAGGAATCTTGGCTGCTCCTGTCTCAGGCCACCGGCGACTCCACATGTTTGCACGGTCTTTACACAACTGGCTCTGTTTGTTCACCATGACCTACACAAACTGAAGGACGCCAGTGACGAGCTCATCTTGGCACATGCACTGAAGATGGACTTGCAAGTTCTCAGCCCCACCATTGCCATGAACTTTCCGAACCTGGACAGCCTGCTTGCTACGGGAGTCTTTGAAGAAGTACTTGGAGATGGTGTTCTCTGCACAGCCCTTAGTTCTTGGTGCTGCTTATGCGGACGGCAGGTTGACCCCAGGGACATGCTTCAACATCTTTGGAACAACCATGCCAAACATGGAAACCGTGGGGGGCTGTTTTACAAGTTTCTGTCGTTCTTTCAAAAGAGACAGCAAACCTGCTCAGTCTGCAACTGTCAGCTTGCAAGCCTTCTAGCCATCCTTCACCATGGACACGGAGGGCAACCAGATTTCCGAAATGTGGGGGGCCCTGAATCACTGGGTGAAGATGGAGGTGGACGAGGACAAGCAGAGCGCAAAGCGCCCGAGGTCTTCCACGTCGAGTGGCGTGAAGGGCCAGGGAAAAGGAGAAGGAAGAAAAGGACAGGGGAAGACCCAGAACATCAAGGACGAATCCACACCAGATTCAAGGACGCTCCTGAACGCTCTGACCCGCCTAGTTCTTCGACACGAAGACACGCTTCAGTGCCTGGCCATGGAGACGGACTTCTTCGTCTTTTTGAGCACGGGACCAGGTTCAGTTCTTCCCAGCATGATGGCGCAGACGCAGACCTGGCAGCAGACTCCAACTGCGGAAAGGACCCATCCACTTCGGATCTTGGTCCTGAAAACCTTGCTGGAGGAACTGTTGAAGAGGATTCAGAAGCTTCAATCCACGGCCTCCTTAGATCCCTTGATCCAGACATTGCTACGCCTGAACTTTTTGCAGCCAGAGCCAGAGAAGGGCGACTCATTCATATTTCCACGGACGAGGTGGATTTCCAAGAAGCAGCAGATGGAGGCTCAGCAGGACGCGCCCCTGACCATGAGTCAGGCCACACAGACAGTGACCAGGATGCTCACTCTGCTCCAGCAAGAAGCCCTGATCAAAAGATTCGGAGCCCTACGTCCCCAACAGCAGATCCAGAAGGCCATGACCATGGACACGGAGGCACCGTCAGCCATCATTCCCTGGCGGATCACCCTAGCATTGGTTCATCCCAATGCCAACGAGATGAGGGGACTTTGGCACCAACTCAGTCATTCGGGACTTTGGCAACTGGTACTTGGAAGGACACATCGAACACCTTTAGCTCAACACGTTGGCAAGATGCTGGAACAACTGTGAAGACCTTCGTTGACCCTCCACTGAGGACGCTTCAGAACCCAGCAGCCGCCTGCTACATGAACTCTGCGGCCACTGGATTAGCCTGGAGCGCACTGAAGGCGGATGGATTGAAGGAGGACCAATGGTCCAACTTCCCTGGGGCATTGGGGGAACTAGCAGATGTGTCCAAAGAGCAGTCCATGCTTTTATGGGCGGACGGGCAGTGGACCACCCTCTTGGCCAACTGGAACAATCCTTTTCGGCAACATGATGCGGTTGACTTTGCTCATCACCTTCTTCAACAAACCAACCCTCTTTTTCTCAGCTGTTGTTGGGAAAGCCGGCTGGAGGACGATGGTCATTTGAAGGTGGTTGACCACAATGCCCAGGGGTGCCCACTACGACTTTACATCTGCAGTGAGCAAAAAAGCACCCTGCCAATCGACCTTCAAGGTCTTGTTTCAAGTTGGAGCCTTGCATCATTCGGGTTACACGCCCTTACAGAACCAGCAGATGTCACATGCCTGCACATTGACCGCTTTGACTCCAAAGGACGCAAAAGTCACACTCGGCTGACTTGGGATTCTAAGGTGTGGTTGCCCTACTTCCTGAACACCAAGCTGGAGGTTGATCACATTCCGTTCAGCGTCCTTGGGGTCTCTTTCCATTTGGGGTCTGAGGCCTCGTCTGGACACTACAACACGGCCATCAAGGATGGTGACTCCTGGTGGGTCTACGACGACGACCACACGCCGGTGAAGTTCTCCATGCTCCCGCTGGTTGCACAGGAGAACTGCTGCCTTCTTTGGTTGAATTGCACTCCACATGGAGGGGCAGAGGAGGTCTCTCCCTTCTCAGAAGAATCGCCCATTCTGACGGACAATGAGAAGGTTCAGCACATCATCCATGACCCGGCCATCAACGATGACTGGAATAGCAAATGGTTGCTTGGGCTTGACCTGATGGACACTGACCTCTTGGTTGATCATCCACGGCCATGTCACAGGCTGGTGAAGAAATGCATCATGTGTGGGAGCTGGCCTCGCGACCTCATTTCACACATGCAGGTGGCACACCGCTCCATGTGGGAAGCAGCAAGCTCCTTGGCTGAACAATGTGCAGTGAGCTTCCTCTCAAAAGCTCACCCCACAAGATGGTGTGCTTGCCAGCCGTTCCACAGCATTGGCCTTAATGAAGACCACTGCTGCCCATGCCTGAGACAGTTTGCCATGCTTCACATGGCACTTCGTTCCCATCAAAGGGCCGAAGCAAAAGCTTCCACCTTGGCCCGTCTCCTCGACAAACACTTCAGTTGAGGGTAGGCCCTACGGGGCGCAGGTGGGACCAAAAAGGTCCACGCAGTCATCGACCGATGAGCGTATGAAAGAAAGATGATGATGATGATGATGATGAGGTATCATCCATTGGCAGTCGGGCTCCTGTTGAATTCACAATGAACTTGCGTCCAGTTTCATCTTCGTGATAGCTGGGATGTCCACCAGGCAAAACACATGCATCTTGGCTGCATCGTGGCCTCAAGGCATCGGGAGTCCCATCAACGGCATTCACTCCCTTCTCACGAAGAGCCGACGTGAGCGGGCTCACTTCAGGCATCACCATCGGACTACTCGAGCCGGGATCTGCTGCACGGTGCTGTGTCTGCTGTTACTTGTTCTGCTGATGCTGCTTGTGTCGTTATCCCGGTCTTTGTTGGATCGTCAGCTTCTTCGATGGTGTCCTTAGATGCCTCCTCAAGTGCTTTCCGCTTCCTGCCAGGCCGCGTGGTCTTTGGAGCCTTTGCTGCTCTTCCCACGCCTGGTGTTGAAGGAGCTGAAGTCTTTGTTCTTGGTGCTCTGGCAGCCGGTGTCGCAGGGACTGCACTCTTCTCAAGTTCAAGCCAAGTTGATCGGCCTGGTTGGTCACTCTCCTTGTAGTTGTCTTCAATCTCTGCTTGTTCGCTCTTGTCACGGAGGCCACGAAGTTTCGTCTTGCGACGTCCAGTGAGATGATCGTCATCCACCGGAATGGCGTTGAGCTTCCGAGGATCAAAGAGACCAAGACGTGGCATTGCGTGGCATCAGATGAGCCACTTGTGGTCGCCCTCATAGCCGAACTTCCATGAGTCAGCCTTGTAGCCCTGTGTTGGTTGTACTCGAACATCGGCAGGGCAAAGATCTTCCTCAGCAGGGTTGTACTCGAGTCCCTCCAGTGACATCTGAGAAGTGACGACCTGTGAAGTTCTCGAGGAGCGATTCCAGAGTGACTTGCATCTTGATGACAGCCAGCCTTTGAGTGAGGCTTGAAGTTCTTCCCGGCGAGTGTGTGGCCGGATCTGCATTGTCCTTGCCCGGACGATAGAAGAGCCTGGCGCAAGCCATACCTGCACCAAAACTCTGACTGGTCCTTGCCATCCACCAGAGACCTTGCCAGGGCGATTGTGTTGACGCCAAAGCATGACCAGTGAGCCTGGCTTGTGGGTGGCAATCTTCTGCGGATCGTGTTGTCAGCTTGCTCAAGCGAACTCGCGCGCTTTCCATCTCGTGGGCCACCCTTGCCTTCTCCTTTAGGCGAAGCATGCCACCAAAAAAAGCTTCTTCGGGTCAATGCCCAATGGCATTCCTTCCATGGGAAGTGAAGTACCCCTGGTCCATTGGAAAGCTGAGAAACTCATTCTGACCATGTGCGGCCAGAGTGAAGGCAAGTTCCACCTCCATATCTTCCACCTCCTTCAACAGTCGTGCCGCCGTGCCTTTGAGCAGAGGAATGGCACCCTCTTCCGGTCCGAGAAGATGATGAGGCTCGGCCGGCGTGACCGTGTGACCAATGCCCCGGATGCGAAGGCGTCTTGCCAAGTTGTAGAAGGATGTGTGTCCTGGTGACTTGTGGACACGGAGCATCTGGGCCTTGATGGTTTCCAATTTCTTTCCCGTTGGCGGTGTTGGTGGATACCGCTGACGGGTGAGTGCAAAGAGGTGTGGATCCTCCTTTCTCACTTCGCGCTCAAAGTGAGCGCACTGGTCATTCTCAACATCGGGGAACATGCCCATGACATCCTCCTGGAAGTTGTTGGCACCCTCATACTCGACAAGTTGTGTTGTCACGTCATTGACCAGACAAGTGCCAGCCTTTTCTTCCATGCGAGTCCAAGAAGCCGCAATGGCCTAGGTCACGGCCTTCACCATGAGCTCTGGGTAATAGCTCGAAGCTTGGGCCACTTGTCCTCGGCAGTGGGCGTGATCTGTATGACCTGTGCAACGTTGCTGAAGTGCTAACCAAACTTCCCGGCATGTAGTTGCCACCGTCCAGCTCTTTTGGACAGGATGTCCTCGCCAGGTCAACCCGTAGGCGCAACCGTGGAAGTTGCAACAGTAAAGGCGGCGGTTGTGCTTGTGGGCCAATCTCGTCAACTTGCTGATCGCCTTGGATGACCAGCCTTTCTTGGCCGTGGTTGGCCACTCCCAACTCAGATCTCCACCGGTCTCCAAGATGGGCTCGGCAGCTGACACAACTTCATCAGCTCTTCGAAGGTCCCGCTGCTGCCGCTTCTGGAAGTTTGCTTCTTCCCATTCATCTGTTTGGGCGAGGTTCACCAGGCCTGTGAGCCGAGTGCATGGAAGGCTCACCCATCCGTGCCGAGGTGGTTCGGCCTTGATGTCCTCAGCCAATCGTCTTGTTCCTGCCTTGGTCTGCAGGTCATAGCCTTCCTTGAAGTTGATTCGCCTCACATTGTCGCCAGCCCATCTCCTCCATGTGGGTGGACAGTGATGATGTTGGTGCACAGGCAATCTCCATGAAGTCCGTGGACGTCGTGAGTTGTGCCATCAGGCCTCGAACAGAGAGCATCATCACGGCCCCAATCATGGCCGCATTGGCCGACATCTTTCGGGCTGTGGACGGTGGTATCCGAGCTCTCTTTGTCCTGGGGCTGGAAGCTCCAAAAACTAGAAGCTTGTTGGCTGCCGCCTTGACATGAAGAGGCGCTGCCAAGGGTCTCGGGGAGCATGTTGTGATGTAGGACTTGCTGCATCTTGTCGTGTGCTCCGGTTTGAAGTTCCGGATGCGCTGCTGAAAGGCCTTCACTGATGCCCAAAGGGAGCCGAACCTCTCTTCGGCTTGTCCTTCTCGATTTTTCGCGCACGTCGTAGCGGCTTGGTGGCTACAAGGGCCCTCGTGAACCCAAAAGCGATGGGAAAAACGTGAGTATTCACAATTCACAATGTGCATTCGTGACATTGACACCTTGACCTTCTAACTCAATGGCCACAGGCTCAGTTTTAAAAAATATCCAGCGAAAACTTCCTGCAGCCAAGAAACCCTCTACCCCATGCACTTCTTTGTGCACTTGTTCAGCTTGCGAAACGTTCTGGATTATACACTCTTTGGCCAAGACATGTTAGAGCACCACATGCAATTTGGAATCACCACACCCAGGGCGAAGTACCAGCTGGCCATGGCAAGAAATCTGAACAGGCACAGGGGCGAGCATGTTCAAGTTGGTTCGGGTGCTTGTTGCGTGGAGAAGGCTAAACATGTGTCGCTTGGACATTGCGTTGTTTCGCCTTTGAGGCTTCAACCACCCCTGAATCCATTGTCTAGACCTCGGCGGACAGTACTTGATTTGGCAACGCACATTGAAATACAGTTGAAACAGAAGATTTGTGACTTGGGGGAGCTTTCTGAAAGTCTTACATTTATTATTTGTTGGTTTGTAAGGCCAAACTAGTCCAGTGGTATAATGGCGCGGAGTGTTGCATGAGCAGGTTCCCGGCATGTGTTATACAAAAGTTTTTTGCTTCATGGCACACCTGGGCCAGCAAAGGCACTTCCAGTAGTTGTGCTCGGTTGTGCTCCATTCAGTGATTTTCGCTGAAACCCTTTGCTTTAACCATGGCCAACAGCTGAGGTTGACTTTCCAGATGGGTCTCGCGCACCGGTGTCCATGTTTTCAGCTAGGTTTGACGGAAGCGAGATGGAGCAGAAGTTCCGCAAAGTGCACGAACTTCTAGTTGCCCACAAATTTGACAATCTCATGGTGAGTGTAAGTGGCGGTGGTGATTTCGGTGAGAAAACCCTTGAATATTTAGGGCGGCTGGACGAGGAACGAGGCGTGATGCTGGCAGTTTGCACTGAGAATTACGGAGAGATGACCGACTCCGAGTATTCCTCGAATCGTGAACTGAAATTCGCGCTGGACCAGAAGTTGCATGTGATTCCTTTGCGGGTCGTGGAGATGTATCCTCCAAGGCCGCCTTTTGGCCTGGAGCATCCCTTTGATAAGACGGGAACTGCAAAGACATTGGTCAAGATGGTCCTGCCACCCTCAAAGGTTTACCTCGATTGTCGAAACCAATCTGCCGAGCAGATTGCTAGGCTCATTGCAGATCAATTGCTTGCTAAGGCCAAGTGAAGGGCCCAGCTACTCTGCAACTTTCTACAGTCCCCGCCAGGTCCCACCTACTTGTGGTAGAGAGATCTCACGAACCAGCCCTGAACTGGTCCGCACTGCAGCCTTAGTCGTTTGCGGTCAATTTGTCCAGGAGAAACGCACATCGAAGCATTTGGGGGCCACGAAAGGCCGTACAATGCAAGACAAGTCCAACTATGTTTTGTTTATAGTCTGGTCACAGCCATTGTGCAGCATCAAGCAATCTTGTCAGTTTCTCCATTGAGACGAAGCACCCGCATCGCCATGGTTGAAACAACACGTGACACTAAGTTGAAATTTGACTCAAAACAACATGTTGTCCTGCCTAGAATTTCTGTTGAAAGCAACTAACTTTGGGTGATTGAGGCTTTGTTCTGTTTGCTCGTTCTGCGGTTCCCATGTATTCGACTGCAAGTTCAGGGGTGTGACTTTGAGAAATATGCTTTCTGATGCAGACATCACCCAGAAACGGAGTCAGAAGGTGACAAGAGCTTCAACATTTGGCTAATTTGTTATGTTTTCTTGGTTCATGTCTGCAGACACATGAGACGGTCTCTCTTACTGCACGTACCAGAGGAGATGTTGGGGTGCCAAAGAATGAAAACGGTTTGTCATTCAGCTTGTTCGCCTTGTCGTGGCCGTGCTGTTCTACTGGGCTCACCACCGAGCGCGGCCAGAACACGCAGCGTCGGTCCGCTTCCCGCGCAGCCGGGAGCGGTCCGGGTTCAGAAGGGTTCTGAAGCTGAGGGGAACTTGGGAGACCTCCGAAGTCCAGACGCAGGACTAATTAATCCAGTCTGGAGTGTTTTTGGCACAAATTATTAGATTAATTTCTGGATTGTGTTTTTTTTAAATGGATTGTGGACTTGTTGTGTGCTGGTTTGATGACTCAAGGCTTTTTTTCAGGAGAGGAACTATCAAGACAGTTGTGGTTCTATCAGGTTTTACATGGCTCGCCTTTCTATTCTGCCAGTATGTGCTGGTGACTTCAGAGTGCTCAATAAGATTAGGTACCCATCGTATCGTGGTCATACCAACGTGGTGCTTCCTTGGTCTAGACCGCCTCCGCGAAGGCGCTGCGTTCGGACTCTGGGTTCGAACTTGGAGCTGTTTGGTGGTTTGGCTGCTTGGCTACTCACAGCCTGCCAATCGGGGATTCTGGCAGTGCCTTCCAAGAGAAGAGACGTGGTGAAAAGCAAACTGAATCCATCGTAGCTGGTGAACATCCAAAAAGTCACCCAAAAGACTTGCCTCGATTAGTTGGAAAAGACACCACTTTGGCAGCTCCAACTTTCCACAAGTTTTGGATCCTGAATTCCACCAGAACCTGTGAACGACCATTGAAGAACGTAGGCTGAGGTGAAAATCCATGTGGAAACATGTGAGCACCGGGTTCCTTTTTCCACAGTTGGGGGTTTCAGGCTTTGCCGGATGTCATGCTTTGGCTTCCAGCACCTCTCTCTCTCTCTCTTTGTCTATCTGTATCCCTCGATCTAGGCTTCTGCACACAGAGGCTGACGGGGAGACGGGGAGAGGTGACAAGTGTGTTGGAGTAGCTGCCGGATGTTTGACATGCAGAAAACTTGCAGTCGTTTTTGTCAAGACGGGAATGTTGCTTTCTGCTTTCTTCTGAATGGAAGTGAACGAGCCAAAAAAGACGACGTCTTTCTCTCGAACATGTTTAACATGCTTCGATGAACCGTATTTGGAGGCACTTTGGCCCCGCTGGGCATCACTGCACAATGGTAAGGCCGTGCGAGAAACTCAGGTGGTCCATGAAATGCTACGTATGAATGAAGTCAGGTGGAACTTGGCCAAACTTAGACTTGTTGCTTGTTCCAATAGATGGGCAACAAGAAAAACTCATCAGAGCTCTATCTTCTTGCTTGGCTGACGAGGCCTTTCATGAAGTAGAAGTTCCAAGAAGAAGTTCCTTGGAGTTTGAGGCGTTGATCCCCTTGAAGGGAGTTGAAATTCAAAACCGCAACTTGGCTGGAGACTTCTGATTCAGTTGGCCTATTTGAGGGATTCTGTGGCGCCGAAGAGGATGGGCAACGCCTGAGGCACCAAGCGGAAGAAGATCGCGATCATCGTCAGCGATGTCCGCATCGCAGAGGAAGCTCTTTTGCTCGAGAAGCCCAAGCCGGTGCAGAGCTCAGTGAAGGTTTCAGAACCATGGTGGAGTTCGAAGTCACGAAGCTGAAGGTTCAGCCATTCAGCCAAAACTTTCTTGTCAGGTGTCCTGTAAGCTGGGAGTTTTGTTCTTATTCCTAAGAAGGGGCTGGGCAAGTGAGGACGTCATCTTATTGGGCTTGGATCTTGCTCACAAGTGGGATATCCGGCACGTCTTTGTATCATTCAAAGGAGAAGAGCACACCAGTTCATTGTTTCATCCTTGTATATTCATCCTTGGAAGCGCTGTTGAAATCTGTGCTTCGCCGGTGAAGAACCGACTTTAAAGGTGTTTTTTCCGTTCCACAGTCTTCCCGTCGTTCCGTTCCAGTGCCACATCGTCTTCGTGAAGATCCGCTCCCCGAGGCTGTTGGAGTCACGACGTGGGTTGGGGCCGTCTCGGGGTTGAGAGGTCGAGGCGCCTCGGAGAGGTTTGAATGTGTTCAAACATTACTGCTTTTAGTTTTGGTTTGGTTTGCACAAGACATTCGGTTTAGGTTCTAAGCTAAGTGATTCTTTTTCAATGTGGCAGACCTCTCTCAGCTGGTACAGATCGGCTAGTTTGCTTTGCTGAGCGAAGTGAGCTCAAAAAGATGGGCGAGCGGATGTGATGTGGAGTGCCGACAAGCTTGTAGCCTCATGAGGCTACCTTCTGTTTCTTGTTCCCTTCTGTGATTTCTGTATCGCAACCGCAAGTAGATAGCGAGGCTTTCTAAAATCTGCATGTGGTGGCCGATGTTCATTTGCTATGACTTACTAAGAGGTTATGTTTGGGTGAAAGGATATGGATGGCGAAAGTAGCGAGGAAGACCATCCTTTCCCCCCACAGACTGGAAGGCACTAAGAGCGCCGGCCGGCGGACGGAGCCATCCTTACAGGGTTTCATGGTCCGGCTCCCTGCCTATCAACCATTGTCCAGAAAGCTTGAAAATTCCGAAGTGTTCTCACCGAAGGACAATGACATGTAAT